AAGGGTACAAGATCTGCTATAAAGCCAATCGCTGTAAATAAACATGTGCAACTAACTACTTCCACGGAATTCCCGCGGTTTTTTTTAATAACCCCTCCAATTACCTACATTTACTCAAATAACCTTAGCACCTCAATGTCGTTGCTCGAAGATCGTTGCTCCTGCTACTGACATTAAGGCATTTGAGGGGTCCACGGCCTTGTGGGTCGAGACCAAATGCGCTCCTTAGACTCCTCCAAAAAATCAGCCTAATGACTTTTGATTCGGGTACAAAGCGATTTGGCAGAATCGCAACCTAATCCTAGTACCAAAAGGAAATTTTAAGAAAAAATTATGTTTCAGAAGCTGCCGATGACAATCCAGTGACTGTCCGTTTCCATTGTAACGGAAACTGTTGTGATCACCACGAATGGTGTCGTTTTTGGGCTTCCGTTGGTGAATGCAAGGTAAGAAACTTGAACTTCATTTCACTATCATCCTGTGTGTTAATCACTCATTAGGAAGTATGAAAACTTCATTTTCAAAAATTCACAAATTGCATAAAAAATACGCTCGCCTTTTATCTTCATTTTTCCCCATATTAGCCGAAAAGGTGTTGTTGATATTGTTTTATATAAAGTACAAAAATCGAATGATCACCTGAAATTAGAATTATAAGCATGGAGTATTGTTAGAGGGGATGGGGGTTCCAAAAGCCAGTCCTCGGTAGTATAGTGGTGAGTATCCGCGTCTGTCACATGGGAGACCCGGCTTCAATTCCCGGCCGGGGAGAAGGTTTTTATAAATCTGCTTTAGATGTTAGTAAATTTTACCACACTGATTACAGTTCATATACCCTCGGCGCCAAATTTAATTGCCTCAACATTTCAAATCAGATTTGAAGTGCAATAACCGTCTGCACAATATGTAATCTTACCTCAATTTATCAATTTTCATACCTTTTTTTAATTTTTTAGAACTCTCGTAGGAAAAGCTGTTTTCCACCAACTGGTTTTTTCGTAATGCATCTAG